GACCGGTCCTTAGAGAGGGACATCATGCTTGGGAGGGTGGAGGGACGGCGCAGGAGAGGAAGGCCCTCTATGAGGTCAGTCACTGGGATAATTGGGATGGGAGTGTCCGAGACAGTGCTATTGGCACAGGACAGAGCGGAGTTTAGGGCTGTTGTACATCGGGTCGCTATGAGTCGCAGGCGACTAGACGGCACATAACAACAACAACTGTCTTTCTACAGATAGAGTAGACTTGGTTCCTGTATATTCCACCGGATGAAGTTCAGTGGTATAGTTACTACTTTTTAAAAAATGTGTAAATTGATTGTTATCCTGTTATGTGCTCTCCAGCCTACTCTCTATCACCAAGGCCTTTTCCTTAATTACCAAACCTTTCTTTGTTTCCAACTTTTGCATTCCAGTCGCCACTTCTTATGAATACATCTTGATTGTATGTTCTATAGATGAAGAATGAGAGTAATGGGCAGGCAGTGTGCAGAGCAATTAGTCTGCATAATAATTCTATAAATTAGATGCTATTATTAGCTCCATTTTACAGCTGCAGAAATTGGGGCAACAGAATTAAGTAACTTGCTCGAGGTAATATAGTTAGTAAGTGACAGAAGCAGATTCTGAGCCTAGGCATTTGGATTCCAAATTCTGACAATGTCTAGTTAAGACAGTGTGAGAATAGTGAGGGTCACGTGTAGGTTAAATGCCTAAGTCCTTAAAATTGAAGAAATTCCCAAGGAATGGCCTTGTTTTCTCTTCTACTACTAGGTTTACTAGTGATCAAAATGTTCAAGCTATAAGGGGAAAAAATGCTGTAGCAGTTAGAGCTGTCTTGTGTGTGTGTGTGTGTGAGAGAGAGAGAGAGAGAGAGAGAGAGAGAGACACACACACACAGGCTGCCTCCAGGGAATAATGTATTCTCATACTTGCCCCATTCCACCCCCAAATCTGGGTTTCTATAAGAAAAAAAAAATCTTCTGTGTTATCTTGATGAACTCTGCCCTGGGGCATCCCAGCTGTGTGGTGTCTCTCTCTGCTGCAGTTTGGCCCTTGATGCCAGGGCAGTTAGGTGCATGTGATATAGACTGTCAGATGGTGGAACGAAACGCAGATTATGGAAATGACAGTAAAACCAACAGAAGAGCTAACACTCCTCTCCACTCTATCCTTTGGGTTACACCAAAATGCAAGAATAGCTAAAGTCAGCAATTATAGATTCAGGATTTGAAATGATTCTGAACATTACAGGTGAAATTCACAAGAAGAAATGCAGTAGTTAAAAGCAAAGATCTGCCTGGAGATTGAAAAACTCAATTCAATAGATTCGTATGGGAACACCCTTGCCTGGTGAGGGGGGATTGTGAAGACCCGTGATGAGCTGCACTGAAAGCTCCTGAGAAGTCAGTGTTGTGCTCTGGTAGCAGCCACACGGGCCCAGACTCCACCTGAGGGGCCTGGCAGTCCTCCCTGAGGAGAGCCGCACTGTGTTGTCTCCACCACTTGGAACCATTACAGAAGATCATCCTGGACGCTGGGCCATTAGGAGGGCAGCTCCTGAAGGTCTGGACACTTGATTCTTGTACATTCAGGATTCCAAGATGCAGCCTTGGAATATGACTGTTGTGTACCATAGAGTTGGAACCTATCTATAGCTGACCTTCTGGGAGGTTTTAAGAGGCAGTTAGTTAATCATTCAGGAGGAGATTGCTTGTGGCCTCGGACCTCATGCCTTCATGATTGCAGCGCAGCTTCTTGCCACTAGACCACCAGAACTCCCTTGGAACATGACTAGCTGCATTCAAATTAGAGGGCTGCCAACTGTCATGAGTGGGAGGAAAGGCCATTTGTGTGTCACTTCCTCCTGGACAATTCATAGAACTCCAGAGGGTAACTCGTAACTAAACCCCACTATGTTGTTATATTTACCTTGGAGTTGTAACTGACCCATAGCTGACCCTCCAGCGGTTTTCAGAGATAGTAAATTGCAAGGGAGAGGTCTAGCCTTCTCTTTCTGGGCAGCTGCTGGATTAGAACCGTGTTTGTTTGGGTTGCCAGAGCTGTAGATCTGGAGGCAAAGCCTGAGGGCTCAGATGCAGCGACACAGCCACGGTTTAGGGGAGGAAGGGCCCCCTTTATGCGAGTGGGTAGGCCCCGGATTTCTTCTCCACACCCCGCCGTTTCTCCTCTTTGGCACAGATGACGGGAGCGACAGCAGGCGCAGCGCGACAGGCGCGGACTCCAGGGAGTACTGCATGTCTGATCGAGATATCGTGGAGGTGGTCCGGACCGAGTACGTGTACACACGGCCCCCGCCCTGGTCGGACACACTGCCCACCATCCACGTGGTCACGCCCACGTACAGCCGCCCGGTGCAGAAGGCCGAGCTGACGCGCATGGCCAACACGCTGCTGCACGTGCCCAACCTGCACTGGCTGGTGGTGGAGGACGCGCCCCGGCGCACGCCGCTCACCGCCCGGCTGCTGCGCGACACGGGCCTCAACTACACGCACCTGCACGTCGAGACGCCCCGCAACTATAAACTGCGCGGGGACGCACGCGACCCGCGCATCCCCCGTGGCACCATGCAGCGCAACCTGGCGCTGCGCTGGTTGCGCGAAACCTTCCCCCGAAACTCCAGCCAGCCGGGCGTGGTCTATTTCGCAGACGACGACAACACCTACAGCCTGGAGCTCTTCGAGGAGGTGGGGCAGGGGCTGTGGGCAGCCGGGAGGGGCCGCGGGACACACAGGGTCTGAGGACAGAGAGTACTCAGAGGTTTGATGATGGATGCAGGGACTTGTGGCACAATCAAGTGGGAAGTCCCCCAACTGGGGACTGCATTGTGGGTGCATTGGGGGTGCAGAGAGACAGGTTAAGCAGGGGGAAAGAGCATTGCCATGCTGGGGTTAATGCAGAGAGAGAAGGAGGGAGGGTGAAGAAATCCCACTGCAGTGTTAAGCAGCTCTAGTTAGTAGAAAAGAAAGCTGATGTCTGAAGCTCTAAATGGCACTTCTGATCCGAGATTTTGGGTGTGGTCATTCCACACAGATACTGGAAACTTCTGGTGGAACAATTTAAGCTTCCTAATCGATGGCACATACAGTTATAACGGCATGTCGTCAGGAAGGTCCAGTCCTTGGAGAAGGACATCATACTTGGAAGGGTAGAAGGTCAGTGCAGGAGGGAAAGACCCAGGATTAGATGAATTGATGCAGTAACTGGGGTAATGGGCGTAAGTGTGTTGGAGACAGTGAGATTAGCTCAGGATAGGGCTGAGTTCAGGTCTGTTGTTCATAGGGTCCTGTGAGTCAACTGTCAACTTTCTGCACGTAACAACAACAACAAGAATGGTTTATGAGAATGGTAGCCAGAGTTTGGGCAGGGGTTTGTTCAAACTCCAAATGGCTAAATGAGAGAGTTGAAAGCGAAAAAGTAAAAGGTAAGATTGAGTGGAAAGGGCAATGTGGAGGAGACTGGCCAGTGTGAGGAGTCTGGTCCAGTATAGCATGGGGCAGGCTCTCTGCATATGCCACCAGGTGGATGATGTCCACAGGCAGGGAAAGAGCCACACCCTGAGTGTGGGAGCGTTTACATTGCACCGCGCATGGGCGTGAGATGCACCCTGACCATCGGGTGCTTTGATTTGTAGATGCGAAGCACCCGGAGGGTATCTGTGTGGCCAGTTGCCTTTGTGGGTGGCCTCCGGTACGAGTCCCCAAAGGTGAATGGAGCAGGGAAGGTGGTCGGCTGGAAGACAGTGTTCGACCCCCACCGACCATTTGCAATAGACATGGCTGGATTTGCCGTCAATCTGCGACTTATTCTGCAGCGAAGCCAGGCCTACTTCAAACTGCGTGGTGTCAAGGGGGGCTACCAGGAAAGCAGCCTCCTTCGAGAACTTGTCACCCTCAGTGACCTGGAGCCCAAGGCTGCCAACTGCACCAAGGTAGGTTGGCTCCTCAGCAGAACTGGTCATAAGACAAGCGTGTCCAGGCTCATAACAGCCTTTCACTGCCTGTAACAGAACCACAGCCAAGCTCACTGCTGTGGCATTGATTCTGACTCATAGGGAGCCTTCATTCAATTCCATTTCCAAGGCTGTAAAACTTTATCAGAGGAGACTGCCTGACATGTCCCAAAAATCAGCTGGCAGATTCAAACCACTGACCTTTCAGTTCACAGTGCAACATGTCACTGTCACCAGAGCTCCTTTAAAGGTAGGCAGAAACGAAGTGCCCAAAAATGGCCTTGCAAATAAGAGACAGTTGTCTACTTATTTAGTGCTGCTATAATAGAATTTTTTTTTCCAAGTGAGATCTGATGGTGTAGTACATAGGGAATGGTGCTGTAAATCCAAAGATGGCTCTTCTCTGCAAGTTCAAGTCCACTTGTGACTTGGTGGGAGAAAGATGGGCAGTCTTCTGCTGTGCAATTTACAGCCTCCAAAAACCCATTGGAGGCTCAGCTATGAGTCAGTGTTAGATTGACAGCAAGAGTAAGAAAACCCAGAAATAACACAGGAAGATGACTTTAAGAAATGAAAACTTAACCAGCTCACAGCTCAGGAGCCTGGAAGTCTGAATTCAGAGTACCAGTACTAGCAGAAGGCTTTCTCTCTTTTGGCTCTGTGAAAGGGCTTTGTTTCCTCTGTGGGCTGAGTGCTCCTGGGAGATGTCTGTGTCTTCCCCTGAGATAGGAGGCTCCCAGCACAGGGACCCCAGTTCCCAAGAACAGGCTTTGCACCCAGACACAAGAGCCCCTCCTTTTTTGCTTACTTCTCTCTCCTTTTATCTCTTGTAAGGTAAAAGCTGAGGCAGTCCACACCCCAAAGGAGCTTATCAGGGCTCTGGGACCTGGGTAAGGGTGTTGAATCTCACCCTAATTCCCTTACACTTGATTGGCTAATCACATCAGAAAACATTCTTGCAGATGAATGCATTATTATGTAACTGCCACACTGTTGAGAAACACAGCCTTGCCATGTTGGCACATTTCAATCCAGGACACCAGCACTTTACCATCTGGAGGGCAGCCACACAAAAGCTAGGTGGGGACATGGGGATGGGGTGGTGATCGCCGACTTTGCCTCCTCCCTCAAAGTAGCTGGGCTCAGTTTGCACATGCACCTTTTAATTTGGACTTCCTAGACCTGGGCCATTTGACTGAGCTGAAGGTTCCGGAAAGTTCTTTCTCTCTCCTTAGAGAAATCCACCAGGAAACCCAGGGGAGGAATTCTTGGGATCTTTGTTTTCCATAGCTGTAGATTTCATGTTTCCAGCAGATATTTTGAATGCATCTCATGCACAAATAGCAAGAATGAGGGAAGTAGGCAGAAATAAAGAACAATCAAGAAAACTTGACAGAACAAGGGCCAGGGGGATGGAGAAATGCTTGTGAGGTGTGGGAGGGGAAGGGGGGCAGGCCAAGGTCAAGGCTTGCCCATTGTGTAATGTCTCTGGACACAGATTCTGGTATGGCACACACGGACAGAGAAGCCAGTGCTGGTCAATGAGGGGAAGAAAGGCTTCACCGACCCCAGTATGGAGATCTAGCTGCAGAGACAGGTATGAAGCTGTGAGGGTGGGGAATGGGTAGGGGAGACACAGGTAGTGGCAAGACCTAGCACCAGTCTCCCCAAAGGTTCCCTTACAGCCCTCCTTCTGTGGGAGGCAAGGCACAGCAGGGCAAGAGAGAGGCCAGCCAAAGGCTTCTGCCGAATGTTCGCTAGACTCCGGCATCTCACTTCTTGACAGCACTCCATATATCTGTCTTTCCTAGTCTATGTTATGCAAGATAGGGGTGGGGGCTCAGACAACAGGACACACATCTGTCCCTCTGACTCTGGAGTTAATCACACCTTCTGTATCACACTCTCCTCTTTACCATAAACTCTCACTCTGTTTTGTCCCTTGAACATAAAGCTCACCTCTGCCAGTTCCACTTAAAATGCATCAGTACAAAGCCCCACCCCTACTTCCCACTCTAACTGGGACCCTGGGAAAGCCCTTTCCAGTAACCCTTAATCAAGTGCCATAGGACACCTATGGGTTGGCTCTGTAAGACCTCTGTTGACCTGTAGTCAGGGGCTTGGCCCAGGTGGCTGGCCCTTGCTCCTGGTCCTAAAGCCTCATACCTCACCAACACTCTTCTCCCTCCCTCCACAGGATCCTCCTTTTCAGACCCTGTTCTTGGCCTGCTGCTCTCTCGCCCATGGGTGATGATCCTTCCAAGGCTAACTCTTGAGGGATTACTGTCACCCTCCTTTCTCAGTTGGGAGATTCAGAGAGAGGCCAGCTTAATGCCGAGATGAAGGACAGATAACACAAAGCACAGAAACCTTAGTCCTGTTATTTTCTTCCATCTGACTTGACCAATGGCCCGAGAGAGACTTCAGGGGTGGGAGCACAGCTGTCTGTTAGCAAGGCCAGCCTGCACAAGCATCCCAGGGCATTCCTGACAAGGCCCTGTCTTCAGAGTTGTCAAAAGATGCTGCTGCACCTCCAGCCAAAATGATAGGGGCTAAGGAGTGGACACACCTGCCCTCCTTCCACCCTGATCCAGGCCCAGCGGCCACACTGGACCTCAACCAGGGAACTGTGAAGACGGCAGAGCAGCCACTGGGAAAAATGGATGTCCATCCCCACCTCACTCCTCTTCCTGAGGGCTGCTCCCAAAGCAGACATACCTCTTTGTTTTCCTTTGGTTCATGTTTACAGAACTGGCTGTCTGGGATTCTCAATAGCTCTGCATGTTGGCCTGGGCCTGCTGACAGGCTCTGTGTACCTCACGCTGGGGTATGAGCGTCAGCCCGGCCTCTGGCCCTATGACTCCCAGCCTTCTCCAGCACCAGATCCACACAGGTCACTGAAAGAATCCGAACCAAGAAACCATGTGATGCACCACCGTCCACAACACAGCTTTCCTGTGCCCTGGGCACTGACAGCCCTTGCCCACCTGGAGTGGACAAGACCAGGCCCAGCTGAGAAGTCCTCTTCTGGAACTCTCAGACAACTTCAGATCAAAAAGGAAAGGGGATCTCCTTCTGCTTGCAGATGGTAGGCGCTCCCAGGTCAAACCCTTCCTTTGGAGGGTTTCAGGGGAGGGGACAGAGGTCATTAGGATACCAGGGGAAAGAAGACCTGATCATACACCACTGGAAATCATGTATTTAAACACAAACTGTGAAGAGAAAATGTCTTTTCCCTGCATGAGGGACGCACTCAGAGCAAACACACCTCATCCCCACCTCCCTGTCCCGCCACCCCAGCCCAGAGAAGGAGCAATGATCAAGGTGACCAGGGCCCAAGTGCTACCGCCACCACCCCCACCCCCACGGCTTTCTCACTAGATGGTGCCCTCTGGTGTTCATTTCCCTTGTGTTCTTGAGAGTTGGAAGCACAATTTTCCTCCCAATTGAAGAGAAAGGAAAGACCCGACTGAAAAGGTATTGCATTTTTAACTGCTAGCAATGCCCACTCTGTTTAAACACACAGGCTATTCAGAGTCCGCTTGCAGCTGGGTGGGAGTCAAGCCAGCAGATGTACCTGCAGTGGCTCCTGCTTCTGAAACACATCTCGTTCCCCACAGTATTGCTGTCTGCTGGGAATCAGACAGGATGCCCAGGCCCTTGGCAGGTGCTTTCCCTGACCCGCCACACTTCCCATAGCTGCTTTGAAATAGGTCCTTGGAGTCACATAAACGGCATGGAGAGACAGGAGGACAAGGGCCACCCCTGACCGCAGGTCCGAGCTCAGGGCCCCTGCTGCCGGGGGAGCACAGCGGAGCCAGTCCCAAACACAGCCTGGCTGACTTTAGGTGACCATCTTAGTCAAAATCCCAGGGCTCATTTTTAGGAAATTGATAGAAACAATAAAATGGGAACATCCTTCCAATTTTTTAAAAGGCACTTTTTTGTCAGATGCTAGTTCAATTGTTTTCCCCTATTATCATCTCCTGCATGAACATTTATTTATAACTGTAACCCCGGTGGACTGCAACCTTCATCGTTGATGGGAATGAGTTTGTTACAGATCAGAAGAGCTGGGCCCATGATGACAATTTGTTTTTCAAGCCCAGGGTGTGTCCCCTGCTCCTTGGCACTGGCCCGGCCCCAGCGAAGCGGTGCTGGAGCTGAGGGGGCCCCGGGGCACAAACTGGACGAAGAGGCCTCCTGCCCCTGCATCTCTGGTCTCTTCTAACTTAACTGTATTTCGTTTGTTTCAAAATTAAATGCCAAATATGGTTTTTAACAGTCCTGATCCTCGTTCGCCCTGTCTTATTTTAGCCTCGCTCACTAATTTAACCACCCAACAAATATCAGATATCTGATATGAGCCAGATCTGCATCTTAGAACGAAGCTCTCTCTCACTTTTTGCTGTTGAGCGGAAGCTGACTCCTCGCTGACCTCCCACTGGGTCCCTGGGGCTGTAAATCTCACGGGAGGAGACTGTTCATCTCTCCACTGGTGGATTGCTAGGGAGGTACAGCCTTTGAGTTAGCAGCACAACTGCCACCGAAGCTCCTTTAGGAACAAAGAGGGGCTTAAATTGGACAAACATATTGTTGTTGTTAAGTGCCATCGAGTGGCAGGCCTCATAGCAACCCTTTGAAGGAGAGTCCTCAACGCTTGGGTGCCTTTCATCCTCTCTCCAGGTTCAAAGGGTTTCCGGAGGCCAGCTATTATGGAAGTGGATGCCACTCCTCCTTCCAAGCTTGTTTTAATTGGGGAGCTCCACCCCACTCTCTGTCCACATTGGGTAACCAGCCATTAATGCGTTTGACACATCAGTGTCACAATGTTCAGCCTCACAGCAACCACAAGTTACCACTGTATGGCAACTTGTACACCAGGGCTATGTGACCTAGAGGAATGCCTGAACAAAAACAATGAAAGACAGGCCTGAGGGCCGCGGGTTAAAAGTCACCCACCTTTGGCTTGGTAGCATTGCTTTTTGTCCACTGGGCCAAGGGATCTCTATGTTGATGTTATTGTTGTTAAGTGCCGTCGAGTGGTAGGTGACACGTAGTGACCCTATGAAGGACAGTCCTCAACGCTTGTGTGGACAAACATATATATTTAAAAAAAATTATCTCTTTTCACTCCTTACAGGCACACATCCCTCCTTGCAACTTCAGAAAGTCTAAGAATTAGCATAGAAAAGAGTACAGAAATACAACTGCTTCCATACAGTCTATTTTGAATGTGGCCACCTTGTATGTGCTGGGGTCCATCTGTGCTCCACAGGGTTTTAGGGCCTGCAGTCTTACTGAAGCAGAACACCAGGTCTTTCTACTGTGTTACCACTGGGGGGACTCAAACAACCTTTAGGTTAGTAGCATTTTCACCACCTGGGGACCTAGGAGCTAGTGCACGACTAAAAATACAAAGTCTTCATCTTCATGGAATTTATATTCTACAAAGAGAGATAATGAACAAGGGATGGTATTTCAGATATGATTTGTTTTAAGACGAGAGAAGCAGAGGAAGGGGACAAAGTGGAGAAGGGGCTGAGTCTCCCAACAAAGCAGCCAGAAAGGATTACTGATGAGAGCTGAAGGGAGTTGTGACCCCAGGCACGCAGTCACCAGCGGCTTAGAGCGCTCCGGGAACAGCATCCTCCCCAGTGCGGGTGAGCACTTGAAGTGATGGAGACAGAGCCCAATGTGGCTGCAGCTGAATGGACAGTGAGCTAGGGTTGCCCTAGGAACCCGTGTAACTGTTTTGGTTTTTATGGGATGAAATGGAAAGCCACCAGAGGGTTGAAAGCAGAGGACTGACATGACCTAACTGACAGTTTCTAAGAACCAGTCCGCTTACTCTGCTGACAACAGAAGGGTGGCTGCACGCCAGGGGAGACAGCAATAGCAGTATTCAAACACAAGATGATGGTGGATCAGACAGGGCACAGGGGCAGAAAGGGCTGAGTTCTGGATGTATCTGAACAGTAGGACCAGAAGGATGTGCTGATAGAGGAGATGTGGAGGAGTCACAGTGGTGTAAGAAACGTGGGCAGTGTGCAGCTGGCCGACACGGGGGACCTCAGGAGCCCCACTTCACTGCTGGATCATCATCTGAAGTAGATGGGACAAGCAGACAGTTGCAGCAACCTGGAGACAAACACGGTGGGTCCCAGGATCAAGACTGCTTGTGGATCTCAAGGATAGAGTCTGTGATGTGTGATGAAGGCCTGGGAATACGGGGTTATAAGGAGGAATCCATAAGGAGCTATGAAAAGTCACAAAGTGAAGGAAGACATGAAGCCTTTTGCCAATGCTGAAGTACAGTCTGTCACCGGGTGCTTTGACAGAAGCTCTGCAGGTGGCTTGGCAGATAGGCGGGTGGGAGTAATAAATGGGGCATGAGGACTTCACTTTACAAAATTACCAATTCATCCCTGTTTAGCTTTGCATGAAAGAAAAATTCAGAGGGATACTTCATTGTGCAGTGAATATTTTCAGAAGATTCCCGTAAAGTACAGCTCTCTGTCATGTTCTCCAACAGAAGCTAATTTGCCTAGACCCATGTAGTAACATTATTGATGGGAAATGAGATACCGC